CCTTCATTGACCCCCAAACATTTATCATATGAAAATTATTGAAGACTACTTTAATAACAGTACTATGAGAAGCACTATAATAATACAGTATTATAATAATAATATTATTCTTGTAAATACTATTGACACCTTTTGTTGGTATCAGCAGTTGTCATTATTGTTGCTACAATGCTCAATTTTTAGTAAATTCCCAGCAATCAGGTCTTTGGCAGCACTCTTATCGCCATGGGTGTACTCACTGGCTCTCCAACAGAGTTTGTGGTGAGCAGGTTCGCTCAACATGGGAAGTGAATACATATGTATATCCTTACAAGATGGGGGAGGGCGGAAAGTCAAAGACACAAAACGCAATGCTTGCTGGTAAATGTGGCCAGTAATACCACATAGTTGATAAAGTCAAGGTCACTCTTGCTGGCAACTTACCCACCGACCCTGGGCAACACTGTCTCACTACTAGCCACTTCACCCTCAATACTAGGGTCTGGCATGGAGCTCTACATGGACCTCAAAAGATGAATTGACCCCAACTGACCTTTCATAATCTATTGATCACTTACTGAACCCCAAACATTTACTGACTCTCTTTTGATCCACAGCCATTTTATCAACCCCTTGGATAGCCTCATCAACGCTTGGTGGGTCAGTCATTTTTAAGCATGTTTCACAGTTTTACGAACAACGTTCTCAGGGTCAGCTCATGTATATGTACAGAATTTTCTACATGTAAAGTGGAACTTCAGCCAGACAGCTAAACCTTTGAAATACATAAATGTAAACTGGTGTACCTGCCAAATATCTGTCATGATTTACACATTCCTACCACATTGTATAGCCAGGCTAGTGACACCACTAATCACTATGAATAAGCATCTCCATGTTCCCATGGCATTCCCTGTGCTCTCCTTTTCCTGTAAGCTGTCCCAACATCTCCACTTCTCCAGCACCCAGTGCCTGAAAACATGTTAGAGTGCCAGCATAATGCAAAAAAGCTTGAGTGGCTTGCATTGCCACTTTTAGCCTGATTTCTGCTGCGTAGGAGATTACAGAAGAATAATTAAAAATACATTTAGGTAATTAGCCTAGAAGTATTTTAAATGCATAAAGCGTTTTTTTTATCAATATATTACTGGACTATTTTGTCTGTTAAATTTACCTAATGTTCTGTTTTAAAAGAAAACCTATAATGGAAAAAATATGCAGGCCATCATTGCAGGCATCCTTCTGAAAAAGCCAGCCGTAGGACTGTCTCTGGCTTCAGCATTTTCAGAGTCACTGACCTGGAACCTGCAAGTCAGGGTGAAGTGAAGTCAAAACTATGGATTTGCGTACTTGTTTTAAATCAGTATGTTCCGTACAGGGTACCATACAAACTATGGTCAGCCCTCAACATTCTGAATATGTTAGATACACAACTTTATTTTAGAAAAATCACTTGCCTGACAAGATCTCAGACACGTAGAAAAGTTTTCTAATAAGAAAATGTCTTGTTGTCATCTCTAGTGAGAATTCATGTTTCCTATTGACATCTGCATTGCAGAAATGACAGTTGGAGGATGATTGCTTGCCATGGGCAACCAGAAATCTTTTTATTTACACACTTTCATGCATGAGCCTTAAGGTATCTAGCTGCCATAGACATTGTGTTAACCTATTAATGGGACTGCATTCTCTAATAAATGTAGCATCCAGCTGAGTGCAGTTTTTTTAAATGGTCCTGTCAATGAAAAAAGCTGAAAATAAGGGTGCCCTGTAAAAGAAGATACTGTATAATCAGTCAGCAGTCCATCTGTCCAGCACTGCAACCTCTGTCAGTCTCTTTAGGCTTCAACACTTCTGGGAGTGTCAGATGCATGTGTACCCCACTGTGCACCATGCTTGCAACCTATGATCCCTATGTTAATGCTGAGTCCTGTAACCACATCTGCGTGGGGGGGTATACAGGTATCTGACACTCTCAGAAGTGTTTAATGGGCATGTAGGGGCACACAGGCCACTGGAGAGGTGAGTATACATTGTCTTCTTTTGCAGGGCACACTTACTTGCCTTAATTTTTTCCCCTGACATGGTCACTTTAAAAAAAATCCTTGTAACTCACTTCCATTTGCTATCCTCATCAAAATTTAAAATGGACGTAGAGATCTTAGATGCAAGCAAGTCGGCAATCTCACTGCCACAAGGTAGGATTACAGGGATTTATTTTTTAACTGCACCTATCCTTTAATCCTTTAATTATGCCTCTGCTCCCACATAGTTGTACCCAGACATTTAATAGAATTTAACTATACAGTATTTTACTATTAGAGAGAAAGAAGCATAGCAACGGATGTGTTACAGTTCTGCAATAAAGGATATCAGTAATGTTTTGTTATTGCATTAGTATTTACCATTGTTTTTCCCTACGTTGCAACATCATGCATTGCCGCAGCATATTGTTATTCAGCTGTGTAATGGAGTATGGACGTTGACGTTAACCCCTGCACTGCCAACATGGACATTTATCAGAGTGATCACTGCAAGGGCATTTTACTGGCTGTAACTCATCCCTTATCAGTCTACCAGTTAGCTGTGTGTAATGAAAGGATGACCTACGGGAGAGCCGCTTTGACACTGAGTTGTTTAGAGAGATTTATTAAAAGAAAAATGACTAGAAGACACATTTCCTTCAAAAATGCCTTGGACATGATTTGTACATCTCCAGAGCAATTATGACATTATACCTTCAGCATTTTCATCTGGGTCACATTTCAGATTGAATTAAGAAATGGAGCCAGGCCTTTCCCCGTGCACGTTACTGAAATATGACATTAAATATCTTTCATTATTTCTATAATCTTTTCTTAGGCTCCAGTGTCATTGACAAGTTTTAAAGAGAATGATTTTCAGCCTACTGGGCTTTTTTTCTTTTTACAGTACACTCCAGTCTAACATGAAAATGTAGCATTCAAAATGACTCAGGGGACAGAGCGTACCCACTGAGCAGTTTTGCCTTTCATCCATTCATCTTATGAACCTAGCTCTCCAGTTAGCTAAATCCCTGCAGTTGCCAGTTTCCTAATCCTTTGAAAAGCCTTAAAGCTGAGCCCATGAAAACGCATGGCAGTGTGTCAAATACAGGAGTTTCTATTACTGACTTGCTTTTAAAGGTAGCACCTTCAATGGCTGCCATCCTGAGCTTGGCGTCACTGACCCAGAGTAAGTGTGCCGTGGTAAAGTTGGGATTTTCTGGGTCATTGGCTCACTATACTGGAACACATGATACTTGTCATGATAGCCCTGAACTTGCACCTTTAAAAACAGCACAGCGGCGTTGTGGTTAATACTTCTGCCTTGCAGCATTGGGAGTCCCTGGTTTAAATCCTGGCCAGGTCGCTATCTGCAAGGAGTTTGCATGTGCTTGTGTGGGTTTCCCTTTTTTAGTATTTAAAAACTCTTTTTCCTTTTCTGTCAGTTTTTTTAAACTGTTCCCTTTTTTTTTTCTTCAGGTTGCAGTGCTCTTGTTAGGGGGAGGGGTTAATTGAGCTCAGGTGTCTCTCATTGAGCAGGTGTATTATAAACTAGTGCATCACTCATTTTGAGCTTGCTCACACAGGGCTTGGGAACAAAGTGCCTGGTAGCTAAGTGGCGTTAAAAAATTGGCGTTACCTAGATTGTATGCTCCTTGACGGCAGGGACTGCTCTGAATGTGCAACTATGTAAAGGGCTGTGTAAATTGTTGGTGCAATATAAATACCTGTAATAATAATAACCCAGTTAAGGCAGCTTACATAGCTATATAATAACAGGTTCCCTTTAAAAGATAAGTGCACTTTAAGTAAAATAAAAAAAAATCAATATTAACTCCCCCACCCGCAGAAAAATAACTCAGTAGTACATTGTACCTCTGTGATGTAGAAAAGAGCTCTTTCACTATTCTTCCTGTCAGTGTTTATCAGCCCCAGGACTCTGCAGCTCCATTAGAACTGTATGCATGAGCCAAGGCTAGTCATCCCAATTCCAAACTTGGCACATGTGCCTGATTCCTATGAAGCAAAGGCATTCCGTAGCTGGTAAACACTGCGTCACCTCTGGAAGGCAATTTACTTTTCTCTACATCACAGAAGTACAATGTTCTACTGAATTTTTGTTGTTGTTGCGGCAGATGCTATCTAGGGGCAATACCGATTTTTCAGCTCAAAGTGCAATTATCCTTATAAATGTCTAATAAGAGAGAATGATATCCAGAACAAAGCATTATAATAAATGTATGTTCCACCGCAAATTTAGTTGTTTGTATATATACAATAACTTTTGATTATATATTTATGAACTGTATTTGTGGCTCTTACTAAATGTAACCCATATTTTCGGTTTATTGCTTTTTATTAAGTAAATCTGTCAATTGCTTTTCTGTACTTCGAAATGCAGCAGTTCATGTATGCGCCCACATTACAGTGATATAAAGGTTATAGGTGGAGTGTGGTACAGGGTATTTTTACATAGTCCATAATACATAACACATAATAGAACCTTGACGTCACCATGTAATTCAATATGCAGTTAGAAGTGAACATTCTTACATCTATGTATATTCTGATACTTTGTACACCCACCATCTAAAAAAAAAAAGAGAAAAGAAATGGAAAGAAAATCATCTGGATGAAATTGACTTCCCAAGCCCTGCCATAACTACAGGGCACTAGGTGCTACTGTGAAACACTGCTTCTGGAAATAGTACCCTCCTACACATAGTTACAAACAGAATAATGGCCACTTGGCAGTACAGAAGCCTAGATTGTGTAGGCTTTTAATGCACAACAACTCTATTTTTCACAGTTGACTAATAATTGCTTTATACAGCACAGCCCCCTGAGAAACACCCCAACATGCTCATGGTATCTAGTGACTCATCCTAGAATTGTCATAGTAACTCTGGTATCTTTCATGGGAAAAATCACATGGCCCACTCTTGGGTTGCCTTAGCAATAATCATAGTAAGGCAAATAAGAAGTCACATGGCTCACCCCAGTGTTGTCATAGTAACAATGGTGTACCAGAAGGCAGCAGGAATGCTGGTGAACTTCGTTTTACTTGTCCCCTTCTCGGCGTAGAACATCACAGTGGCAAAAATGATAATGGCCATGGTGAGTGAAAACAGAAGGAAGCCAAGTTCAGAGGCACAACTCTTCAAGGTGTACCCAAGAATCCGAAGCCCCTGAGAGTGCCGGGAGAATTTGAAGATCCGGAAGACTCGGAAAACACGTAATGTCACAAAGGCACCGCTCACATTCTCGTTTGGCATGACCAGGCCAATGTAGTATGGCATTATGGCCACCACGTCTATGATGCTCATAACACTGCGCATGAACTTACAACGGCTTGGGGCTGCAAATAGCCGCATGAGGTACTCAAAAGTGAATATAAGGACACAGGCTGTATCCATGCAGACAAAGGCTAACTGGTATTTCTCCCCACAGGGCAGGTCCTTTAGGCGCCCAGCTGGTGGACGACAAGGCACTGTCTCCACCACGTTGGCAATCACTGACACAGCGATGAAAAATCCAGTAACATAGTAGAAAACAAGGGCCATAGTGCTGGTATGAGGATTCTCAAAAGCCCTCCACAATCGCTGACGAAAAGTGCTGTTGGGAGGGAGAGGGGCATCGCCAGCGGCTTCAGCTTCTGTGTCCTCTGCTAACCTCTCCAGGTTTTCTTTTTTGCGATCACGATATTCTTCTAGACAACAGTCTCCTATAATCTCTGGGATAATGCCATAGAATGACAGCTCTTCGTCAAAGGCCTGGATGCATTCATGCCGAGGATAATGCAACTTGCCCGTCCGGTAGAAGTTAAGAATGTGCCTAAACATTTCAGGATCACGGTCAAAAAAATATTCCTGTGTCTCTTGGTTGAAAAAGAATTCTTTCTCTGTGCTGCCCAGTAAGGTGTCCGGATACCGGTCCAGGGTATTTTTCCATGTCTGAAATTTTCGGCCACTAACATTCACCACAAGTATTTCATCATTTTTTTTCCCTTTGTCACTTGGGGGCTTGGGCATAGGCTTCTTTGCAAGAGGTAGCCATCCTACCGCTGCTGCTCGAGCAAAGGGAAGCCAAGTGGCCACTCCAGCCGCCATGCCTAAATGGCTAAGTCTTCAGTAGCCACAAGTCCAGTGTTTTGGTCCAGAGTGTGACCATGAAAAGGTGAACCTGCCACCAGAACACAGGCAGGTTGTGAGAACTGATTTTATAGCTCCAGCTTTTGGAAGCCAAGTAAATACGAACTTACAGATGACCCTAAGGTGTTCAGTGAACCTGAGGAAGATCTCAGACTATCCAACTCAACACTGGCCAAGTAAAAGAAAATCAGAATGGGATAAACAACTCGTAGGCTATCGGTATGGAAAAGCACTCATAGATGACTAACGCCTCAAATGTGGAGGCTTGAACTGAACGTAGAAGGCCATTCTTATTTTTTATTTGGTCTTCGTTTTCTAATTGGATTCTTGGATGTCTTCTTGGATCCTCTGTTTGCATCCCACAAACTCTTCCTGTGTTTTTCTCCCACACAATCTCTAATTAGTTTTCTTTTCCAAGATTTTCGTGATCTGTTGACAAATTTGGAAAATATAAGATATGCAAAAGAAGAAGAATATCAACAATACATGGTTTATAAATGAACTTTTCAACCCAACCTGAAACACAGACATCAGGACATTGATTTTCATGCTCCTCCTATTACACAGACATCAGGACACTGACCTCTACGCTACGCTTCTTGTAATACACAGACATCAAGACATTGATCTCCATGCTCCTCCTAATGCACAGGGATCAGGTCACTAACCTCTTTGCACCTTCTAATACCCAGACATTGGGACACTGACCTCTCTGCTCCACCTAAATCACAGAAATCAGGACACTGACCCCTATGCGCCACCTAAATCACAGACATTAGGACACTGACCTTTATGCGTCTTCTAATACACAGACAATAGGATACTGATCTCTATGCTACACATATTACACAGACAATAGGACACTGGCCTCTCCCTTCTCTTAATACACAAACATTAGGGCATTGACCTCTACAATTCTACTAATACACAGACTTCAGGATACTGACCTCTATGCTCCTCCTAATACACTGACATTAGAACACTGCCCTCTACACTTCTACTAATACACAGCCTTTAGGATACTGACCTCTATGCTCCTCCTTATACACAGACATTAGGACTCTGACCTTCACACTTCTACTAATACACAGTATGCTGTTATATCTATAGCATGAAAATATGACACAATGCATAGTCATGGTTAATGTTCATATTAATGTGAAGTGCAAATTTGTATAGTTAATTTCCTAAAGCCATTGTTCATTGGCACTAGCATAGCTGGTTAATATACTGCCATCTTGTGATCATTTTGGGTATAGCACCATCCTTTTCTGTGTTCCCTCCCATTTTATGACGACCCTTCTTGTTCAGGTAATCATTACGGCATCTAAAATGGCTGCATGTCTCATGGCCACATGTAATATGCTTGCATGGGGGTAACATTACCATCTTTGATCTGCAAATACCATCATTTCTATCATCTGCTACATGTTGTTGTACAACCTGCTGCATTCAGTAAAGAGCTTTGTGGACGAAAAGGTATTTGGCGAGTTCAGCTATCTGATAAGGATTGTCCGCGGTGATTATATCTGCTTAAACAGGCCAGGCATAGAGGTCTTAGCAAGGGATATAATCACTAATACAACAGTCGGAGTCAGAATACACAGATATTAGGGCACTGACCTCTACACTTCTACTAATACACAAACATTAGGATACTGACCTCTACACTTCTACTAATAGACAGACATTAGAATACTGACCTCTACACTTCTACTAATACACAGACATTAGGATACTGACCTCTAGACTTCTACTAATACACAGACATTAGGATATTGACCTCTACACTTCTACTAATACACAGACATTAGGATACTGACCTCTACACAGCTACTAACATACAGATTTTAGGATACTGGCCTCTACACAGCTACTAATACACAAACATTAGGATACTGACCTCAACACTTCTACTAATGCGCAGACATTAGGATATTGACCTCTACACAGCTACTAATATACAGATTTTAGGATACTGACCTCTACACAGCTACTAATACACAAACATTAGGATACTGACCTCTACACTTCTACTAATACACAGACATTAGGATACTGACCTCTACACAGCTACCAATACACAGACATTAGGATACTGACCTCTACACAGCTACCAATACTGACCTACACTTCTAGTAATAAACACAGACATTAGGATACTGACCTCTACACTTCTACTAATACACAGACATTAGGATACTGACTTCAATGCTCCTCCTAATACACAGATATTAGGACACACTGACCTCTACACTTCTACTAATAAACAGACATCAGGAGGACCTTATAAAAAGTAACATTTTTCATTCACAAATATTATTTGGAGACCTGTAATACCTGATAATCAGACATGGGTACATAGCAGCAGATATAAACTGTTATATAGAACTGAAGTTCCTACTCATAGCCATTCCCTACGTTCACTTCACATTTATATTGTGATGGATAAGTATTTTGCATCTAGACTACAAGAGAAATAGGACTAGGTAGAGGACCTGACTTTTAAATCTTGCCCCTGTAGATCAACTGACATTTTCTGCCTCCCTCCTCCCCTAATTGACTGGCTAACCATAGTGTAAAAATAACAACATTAGATATCAAAGCTATACCAGGCTTGCTGGGGCCAGGGCTAGAGAGGCGGCTGACGAGTAAGGCAATCTGTCACCCTATTCTGCTACTAGTTTGGTTCTGTGTGATGGACAGGGATTGGCACAGACCAAGGCTGTGGCGGACGTTTTCCAAAATACAGACCTTAGTGAAGGATACCAAGGTACATTTCAAATTAAAACCATCAAAAACACTCTGTCTAGTATCTGGCCTAGTTCCACAAGTACAAATAAGTTTACAATAACATTTATATAGAGACTGTGCTTGTGGTATACGGGTATAAAATATTTAAAAGATTTAAAAAATTCTTACCTTTTACATTTTTTGGTTGTATTTAGACGCAATACTTTACACAGCAATGCAGAATGGCTTCAGCTACAGAGGACTACAACTCCCAGCGATACTCTATACGGCAATGGAGAATGGCTTTGACCATAGAGGACTACAACTCCCAGCAATACTTTATAAAGCAATACAGAATCCCATCTGTAGCGTTTGCCATTCTGTATTGCTGTATAAAGTACTGCTGTGAGTTGTAGTTACTATAGTGTAGTTATTATTCTGTATGAAGTATTGCTGGGAGTTGTAGTCCTCTATAGCCGAAGCCATTCTGCATTGCTTCAATGCAGAATGGCACCAGCTACAGAGAACTACAACTCCAAGCAATATTTTATACAACCATGCAGAATAATTCCATCAGTTATGGGCTACAAATGATGACACTATAGAACATAGCTGAACTATAGAACATGAAGCAGTCACCTAATCTGACGGTCCTCGGTGGGAACACCATGCGCCAGGGAGAGGTGGTGAGATCTGTAACCAGGGGGCTGCTCACTGGGTACTCATGGCCAAGCCCCAGCACTGCCTCATAATGTGCCTGCAGGTCTACCCTACAGTGCATTTATGCATGTTCGACTCCCAACTTCCATCCCAGCTACCTCCGCAGTGCCCAGCAGCTGGCGGCCGGCACCCCCCACCATCTCTGTGCTGGGGTAGCCCTGGTGTCTGTGAATACTATACAGGGGCCCCCCTAGGTTTGGGCCTTGGTGCAGCTGCATCAGCAGTAGTTCCACCCCTGGCTGTAGAGCTGCTTGCTGCTACTGGCTGCTGTCCTCTGCAAAGGCTTTCCCCCCCATCTCAGCGTCAGGCCCCTATTCAGCCTTGGCAGAGCACAGCAGCCAGTAGCAGCAAGCAGCTAGTGCGCAAGGCTGAATAGAGGCCCGACACTGGGGTGGGGGAAACCTTTGCAGAGGACAGCCTCCCTCCTCAGCGTTGGGCCCCTATTCAGCCTTGGGCACCAGCTGTTTGCTGCTACTGGCTGCTGTGCTGTCCTCTGCAGAACGCTCCCCCCCACCCCAGCGTTGGGCACCAATCTCAGCTGCTGCTGTTCCCCCCAGCCCCAGATCTCTGCTTGCTTACCTTTCCACTTCAGCAGTCTTCGCTCCCACCTTGCTCTTCTTCACTCTCGCCTGCTAAAAAGCAAGCTCCGCCATCGAAAAAGAAGAAAAAAACCCTTCCTGCATGTGAACAGGAATTTACCAAATACTGCAATTGTACAGGGGGGTCTGGGGGCCGGGACCATACCAAGTTCATTCCAACTGCACTGTACGGCCTCACCAGACCCTGCAAGGGCCACTCACGCACACCAGTGTCCGTGTACGGACACCTTGCATATCCCTGGTGATGGACTGATAGTCAGGAAACTGTAAGTACACTTTTCCACCAACACAACACAAATGTCAGGACAACCCTGCTAGTCTGGTCCACAGCCTATGTTGTCTATGCAGAAATCTTGCCCTGTATATTACATTATGATGTTTAGTGGGATTTGCCAGATCTTTGCTTTGCTCCTATTTCTGAATTGTAGACTGAGATTGCAAATTAACCTAGGAAGGTAGCTGAACTATAAATCCCCATACAACATACATTCAAAAACTACAAAGACTGCAACAAAAGATTTAAAAAAAGCAATCAGGGCTGCAAAAATAGAATACGAGGAACAGATAGCAACAGAAAGCAAAAGGAACCCCAATAAATTATTTAATTATATAAATAGCAAAAAGGTAAGGACGGAACATGTAGACCCCTATAAAGGATGACAGGGGGAGATTAGCTACCAGTGATCCGGAGAAAGCGAATATGTTAAATTCATTATTTTTTTCTGTATTTACAGATGAGATGGTCGTGGGTAACTATCAGCATCAGCTGCAGAAATAGTAGTACCACTTTTAACGTATCTCAGTGGCTGTCTGAGAACAAAGTAAAACAGAGACTAGAAAGATTAAATGTAACCAACTCCACAGGACCGGACGGCTTACATCCGAGGGTACTGAAGGAACTTAGCCAGGTCATAGCCAGGCCACTGTACAACATTTTTATGGACACCCTAATGACAGGTATGGTTCCGGTTGATTGGCGGAAAGCAAATGTGGTACCAATATACAAAAAGGGGAAAAGAAGTTCACCGGGTAGTGTGCAAAATATTTGAAGGCATGATAAGAGACTACATGCAGGAAATTGCAAATAAAACTGGCATCAT